GGAACAGACTCAGAAAGCCACCCCCTACTGCCAGAGGGAGGGGGATTCACTGAGGATTCATCAGTGTTCAGGGAGAAATCTGAAGGTAYAAATCCTTTTTTACTGAAACGAAAATCGTTGGCAAAATCTAAAAAAAAGGAAGTCAATGTTCTTCAATATCTAAAATTAAGCACAGGATTCCTCTTCTTGCATACAGTATTCCCAAATTTTGCTACTCTTTAAAAACAAACTCTGTGTTGTAACACCTAGGCATCCCTGCCATTCTCTTCTGTGGAATTTAACTTCATTTTTTACAGAACTGAGCTCCAGGCTTCTTCCCAATTTTTTTTTTGTGTGTGTCCCTTTTTAGGCCTTGCTAAGTATATGTTGATAATGTAACACATTTGCCTTTCTCAAAATTTCTGAAACCTGTGGCTATGACACCTCAATTAGGTTCAWCTTGTAACTAACTGCTGGCTGAAACTCCATTGGTTGTCTCTATTCCAGAAGGAACTAATTCAATGTTTATATAGAAAAAAGGAAACCTCCTCATAGTCTTTATCTTTTGTATGCTTTTCTTTGAATACCAAAACTCCCAAATACCTAAATCAATTTGATTGGGTTTCATCCTGTCTTTAGAAGTCTGATTGCCTCATTTGGCCTAAACTCTAATTTTCAGACACATCAGTGCCTCAGATTTTGGAMAATGTGATTGCAAGCTGCATCTTCATAGTAGGTCCTTATCTACAAACTTACAGGTCATTATTGGATAGATCAAAATTCTCCAAATGCATGGAAACTTTTAATCTCGATTTTCTCTCTCAAACCTGCAAGTTTCTAAAGTGTCCTCAGGTTTTGCCATCATAGCTGAGAGTTCAGTGTGCTCCCTGTGAATTTAAGATGAYAAGGAACTGAACAGAAATACAGCTCTGTAATAAAGCTTGAGGAGGTAGAAAATTTAAATTAAAAAATAGAAATTGAGGGAGTCCYGCAATTAAATTCTTGAAAATGGTCCTATCCAGACAAGATAATGGGCAGTCTAAGGAAACAAATCTTTGCAAAATGTGATGGGAAATTGACTTAGAGATTGCTGGATGAATTCAAAACTACATACAGTAGGTTTTCTAGTWACTGCCCCAATTACAAAAACTAAACTGTTGTTATACATAATTTCAGATTTAAATATATTGGAGAGAGTAACTTAACCCCCAAGCAGAAAGCCATCCCATTAACATTAATGCAGAATAGATAAGAAGAAACAGTGACAAACATCAGATTTTGAGAGTACACATTAAAAACAAAATATCAGTGTAATTTTATACATTTTGACCAGCTATAAAATAGATGTCTCTTTAAAAGTGTGCAATATTCTTTTTGTGACCAATATGTCAAGGACTACTTGGATACCAAAACATCAATAACTCATTCTGCAAGAAGCCAGTGAAGATCTGGCCTCAGGACATCTGCATGCAGAAATTCATTAATTACAAATGAAAAAAAAAGATAAGAAAATCTGCTGCTAGAATAAGCATGCAAGAGGACCACACTGTTTGCAACTCATTCTCTGAGAGGAGAGAAATAACAATGGTGTGCCAGAAAACACTGTCTTCAAATGCCTCCTCTTTAGGGATGAAACTCACCCTGAGCTGAGATGTCAGGAAGCAACAAATCCTCCCTTCCTGCTCTGAGCAGCACAGGAGAAGAGCTAAAGGGATGAACATTGGCTTGAYCTAGTTTTTAACAAGCCTTTTACCTTATGAATGAAGCTATCTCCCAGCTTCAAGAACAATKAAACAACAATGGAAAAGGCAAAGATCTAGAAGAGAGGAAATAAATGTAATTTGTTCCCACTAAGGGCAAATACAGTGATAGGCTGRGAACACCAGGTCAGATGTAAACAGAAGAAAGAAAAGTCATAAGAAAGGGCAAAATGAATGTGGAGGTCTACAAAACAGTACTGTCTTTGTTATTTTCTCTGATCTGGGGACGACAGATGTCTAATATATTTATGATGGTTTGTGACATGAAGATTCAGATTAATTTTCTGTGTGCTAGTCTGGTTGCTTGATTAATTCTTGGTAAGCCAGTTAGAGCTGGGCTTACAAATTATTGTAATTCAGGTACTGCAAAAAACCAGACTGACCTAGAAGCTCTATGGATTAGTCTATTATTTATTTCATTTGCTTCAACAATTTCAGAAGAAATTGAAYAAAAAATGCTTATGTGTTTTCAAAATCCCACTCTATACTTCTCATGAAAGCCTTTAGAAATGTCCCAAAAAAACCTTCGCTATATGAAGATATCATACCCGATCATGTTCATGATCAACTGCAAGGACAGATCCATGACTGCAGCAACAGCCCTGGACAGGGGACTTATAAAACATTTAGTTCAAGAGAGGTCAGCAAAAGGAAGACTGGAGGTAGCTTTTTCAAACGGCAATTTATAAAAATCACGTAAGTTTAAAAGCCTATGTGGTGCCAGAAGGGTATTCACTAGCATTGCCTATCGTACAAATTGTACAAATATTTGGTTTTCAGAATGATGCATGGATACATTTCCTTTTATTTTGGAAAGATTATTCTGCTGCTGCAGCATTTCTCAATTTCTAACAATAACTCCTGTCCTGCTCACAAACACCATTCTGTCAAGTTTATAGCCCCAGTCTATCAGAGTACTTCAGCTGGGCTGCCACTTTTCCACAGCTTGGCTTAGATGTCCAGTGTCACCGTTAAGAGCAGAAGTCAATACAGTTCATCCTAGCTGGGTATCTACTACAAGGATCCATAACAATACAAATTACTGCTTATATAAAAATCATCTTTTCAGTTTTCATAYATCACTGCTTCACTGATTTCAACCAAGCTATTGCAACTCATAGAAGCTGAAGAATTTAATCTAACTCCTGACTTTTAAAATAAAGAGCTTAAACACCTTCTGAAATATCTTTCAGCAAAATGTAACTATCACCCTTTTGGTAAAAGAATGTTAAATAACATTGTGCCATCTTAACTGGGGTACTTCAACTGAAAGAAAAAATTGGTCATTGTTGTGGGTTAAGATTTCTCTTTTTTCCTTTCCTTTCTTGGGGCAGTTTTCTTTCCCATTGTGTTGCTGGGATACACTGATTGCCAGGTCCTCCTTTTGATGGGTGGGCGATTAGTGAAGACAATG